TCCGATGGTCACCTTCCGATGTTTACTCTTACCGTCCTCTCTCCTCGTCTAGCCCAGAGGTGTGACCTTATATCCTTTTTGACCAGGCTCCGAGACTCTAGCGCGAACATTGGTTTCGGCTAGCATCAAAAGTCTCTTTGTGGTAATTTTTTTGATTGTCCAAAATTATTTTATTTTCCGGCGTTCCTTTTTCAGTTTTTTATAACGGAAGTGGTGCGTGGATCTTCCCTGATTTTTGTTAGTTTCCAGTAACCAATTAGTAGACTCTTGTTTCTTCCGGTGTTTTTCGTTCAGGTTCAGTCTTTTCTTCTTCTTCCTCTTTTTATAGTTGAGAGAGAAGTAGAGAAAAATAAGTTCAGAGAGAGAGAGAGAGAGAGAGAAAAGAAAGATATAAAGGTTTTAAAAGAAAGCGCAAATGCCTTATTTTAATTTGAATTCTTTTTAATTTTGTTTATATTTTTCTTAAATTTTTTGTCGAGACTCTCACTACAATAACAATGTTTCATTTCTGAACTTTAGGCGACACTATGAAGGTCTGTCGAACGGTAGAGTTAATACAAAACAAAGATAAATCTACCATATTAAATAATTCATGAAATAATTGTAATATTCATCTGAGATATTGAAACATTTCTCTTCGAATTGGTTCAATCAGTTGCTTTATAATGCAGTTCCCTTTCTATAAAGTTTCTGCAGATCCCAAAACATTTCTTGTCGCTTGATAATAATTGGTTGCAAGGCATAAGAGCTCCAATTTGGCTATCTGTGGCAAAATTATCTGATTCTCCATTTTTCCAACTGCAACATTTGATTGTAATAAATAACTTTTCAGTCTCTTGCCTCATGTGGTCTTTTACAGTTTTTACTTTTCACACATTGTCTATCGACCACATCGCTTGTAAGCAATGCCACCAACTTTCTATTGTTTTCATTATTACTATTAGCATCATTATTATTATTATTATTTATTTATATTATCATTATTATTATTATCATCATCATTAATATTATTATCATTATTATTATCATTATCATTATTTTCTTTGATTTCTGGCGTTTACACATTTCTTTCCGGGTCCCGCCCAGGGACCTAAGGTTAGAAATGGCGTCATGACACTTTCCACTGACAAAAAATAAATTACATAGATAAAGCCCTTCGTAAAGTGTGGGCTGTACTTGTCAGAACAATTTTTTGTATCTCCTTGAGGCATGGACTTCTAGGAATCCCTCCAATTAGTCTACTGCAATCTTTTCCAACCAGTCCTAGGGCTCCAACTACAACAAGGATTGTTGATGTTCCCATATGCCACATTTTCGAGATTTCTATTTCAAGGTCCTTGTACTTTGACAACTTTTTGAATATTTTCAAAGATACATTGCAGTCAGCAGGGACTGCTATATCAATAAGGAGGCACCGTTTTTGTTTGTGGTCTTTAATAACAATATCTGGCCGGTTGGCCTTGATTGTTCTGTCAGTGTGCATTGTGTTATCCCATAGAATTGTAACAGGTCCTATCTCCGTAACCGGGTCTGGGTGGTGTTCATACCAGTTTCTTTCAGTTTCCTTCCCGTAGAAGTTGCAGATTTTCCAGTGCAGATATTGGCCCACTCTGTCATGTCGGGTTTTATATTCAGTGGGTGCCAACACCGTACAACCTGATACAAGTTGTTATTATTATTACTTATATTATCATTATTATTATTATCATTATTATTATTATTATTCATTATTATCATTATTATTATTATTATTATGCTTTATAGAAATACATGTCCGTTTTAAGATCTATAGAATTTCGAATACAATAATGAGTAAATCTCTCTTTGAAAATTGAACAACTTGGAATCGAGGTTTTCTCTCTCTTTTTCAAATCTTTCAATGATTGTTATATCCTCAAGTGATTAAACAAAAATTTATAGTACTAAAGTGTAACCCAGATATAAGAGACCCGGATATAAGAGAAACCCGGATATAAGAAACTTCTTCTCCGGTCCCGACAACTCTCTTATATCCGGGTTACACTGTAAATGCTTTCATAACCAGACATCTGTCAGAGATAACTTCTTAAAATTCATTAATCATAGAAAGTTTGATTATGAGAGCAAAGGTTTAAAAATCTATTGAAGTTCGCAGGGTAAGTTTGGATTAAATCTTACTTCACAGAACAAACTGTTTACATTTTCTTTATTCAAAACGAGTTTTTTTTTTATATCATTATTGGTTGTACTTATTATATTATTTTTATTATCATCATAATTATTATTTAAAACAATAAGTAAATGCAAATGTTTTTCATTTGTAAAGCATGTGTAAAAGTCAACACATAGCTTTTATTTTAAAAGCTTACGTGAATGATGCTTTTCATTGCAAATCTATTGGTGCCTAATTGTCGGCCATTTGTCAATAACCTTAATGTTTCAATGGTTATCTGATACACACGCAGTAATAAATATACAGGTTAATCGAGTTTATTAAGATCAGGTTTCTTTGTTCCGGTTGTTTATTGATTTTTATTTGTCATTTAAAAAGACATCCGAAAGTGTCAAGATTTTCACTGGACAATTCAATTATATCAGCAACTCTTGGGGGGGGCGCCTGTAATAAAGCGATAGTTTGCAAGCTCGTCTGTTGTCAGGTGATTCTTAATAGGATTATTAACTCATAAGTTTGACCTTCATTGAATACCCCATTATTTTAGCCCTGTGCCAAACAATTAAATCTATTTAATACTGAAGCATTTTTCCCAAGCAACTGTTAGAAAGTCACTCCTCACAAGGTACCCTATTATTGTTGTAATGTACCCGACTAGACTCAGTAAATATCTACAGAGACAGCAATTGTAGAACGATGGTTAAAAAGCATCTCTCACAAATCAACTATTGAATTTAGTCGTCACTAAGAGCCCTTTTGAGGCCTTGTGCCAGACTAATCGAAGTTTAGTAGGCATCATTATAAGAGTGACTCTCAGTGTAACATGATAAGTGAACTATTTTTTCTTATCATTACGACTTTAATGAATTCGAATATCAGTGGGTGTCTTATTACTGGCCTTGTGTCAGACTAAACTCAGAAATTTAAACTTATTTTCTTATTGAAGCAGGTAAAATTTAGGATTCAGATGAGTGATTTTCAGGGTAGAACCCTTCATATTGGAAGATAAATCAAAGATTTCTCCTATTTGGTTTTATACCTAAAACAATGTTATCTGTGCCAGACTGCGTCGGTGGTGGATTATTTCATGGGTGGAGAATGGGATTAAGACGTGAATTACAGGGTGTATTGAGCAACGTGTCTTTTATAAGAGATGGATTTCATTGTGAGGCATTTAACTGCAGTTTTCGGAAACTTGTAGGACTAGAATGTCATAGGTTTGATGTTAGAAAATTGTGATATTTTCATCTCCAAATATATCGCTTCTACCTTTTCACCCTCAACCTAAATTATATAAAACTTTAGCTCAATTCGCGCACTTTATGCTTGTGAGTTGAATGCACTGCTTAAAGCAGTGATTAACCTCAGTGCCGCGGCACACTAGTGAGCCGAGCGATCCTCTTAAATGTGCCGCGCGAAAGTATGATTGGATTTGAAATCCCTTCATAAATATCCCTTCTAATATTGGACTTTAGTTATGTGAAGAAGAAGAATTGGCCACCATTTCTAGTGATCTAGGGTCAAAATAAAACATTCGACGGAACCCATTAATATATTTTGTATTTCAATGCAAAAGGAATATTTGTTAAAAAGGCTTTATCAATTTGGTTGCAATTTTCTACTTCTCATATGAATTAGGCTTCTTAACCCTAAATAACATAAAAATTAACAAGGGTGGAGGACTACGATCAACTGAAAAAGAAATAAAGATCTGCTTATCGCACATTCGACCAAACATTGAAGAAATTGCGAAAAAACACCAGGCACAAGTTTCACACTAAATAAGCTGCACAAATAGTTGAATAGAAACATTGAAATAAAGTAAATTCATATTTGTGTGTATTTTTTAATCTATGGTTTTATTTCGTAAAATTTAAATGTCGACCCTTTAAAAATTTTGCTAAGTGTGTCGTGATATTTTCATTTGCTCCTAGGTGTGCTGTTGCTTAAAAAGATTAAGAAACACTGGATTAGAACATTGGTTTATTGGCTGTATTAAAAGTTTCAAATTGGCCTTCTTATCGGCTTTTACGAGCTGAAACAAATCAAGAGGACTTTTAACCTACTTAAAGACATTGATTTATGTAAAACTCATTTGACTCAGTGAATAGAGCAACGAACTGGTTATTGAAAGATATGAGGCTTCATCCATGATGTCCTTACTGTTTCGTTGTTCAGATTTAAATATTCAATTTCATTGCTTAGTCTGGCACAAGTAAACGAATGTAAAATGCATCTTTTGTGAATTGAAGCTGTGACAAGAATAATGATTGGTGAAATTAGCTTAACCATTGGTCAACATATTGATATTGACTAAGTTTAGTTTAATCTAGTACATCAATGGGATCCCATGTGAAGATCGATAATGTTCAAAGACTAGCTTAGTCATCCCTACTCTACGACAAAACTCCCAATCATGTTTCATTATTCAATAGAGGGTCATGTTGTCAGAGATTTCTTACTCTCTCTACTTTGGCCTGTAATTGGAGAGTTCAGCAAGTGCATTAAGACGGTCTGACGAGATCAATCAAGTACGATTCCTTTTTTTACTTTAAACTCTTTTTTTTCCGTAAAATTAAGGGAATCGGATAGAACTGGGTGAAGAGTGGGGCGGAAGTTGATTAAGAAAGAACGAGAAAGAAAGATGGAGATGTGGTTGGATCTGCGGAGACAGTTAAGCAACCTTCAACCTTGTTGGTGACAATTGGACATCCTGTGTTTGTCTATTATTTCAGTTTGTAACCCAGACAATGTAAATGCAGAGTCGCGTGTTGTGAACACGTGACTAGGAATCAATAAACGGAGAGAAAGCAGACGTAGAATGGGAGGTAGCCGTAAGAAGAGAGAATTAAGATAAAGGAGGAAGATAGAAGATCTCTCTTCTCCCTTGTTGAGAGATGGAGAGAGAGAGAGGGTTTAATGTAAATCTGAAGGAACGGGAAAGAGTGAGGAAAATAGACGCGAGCAGGAAGAGAGGAAGATAAGAGGGAGAGAAATGGAAAGAGGGACAGATGGCTGTAAAGAGAAAAATGGAATATGTCGAGAGGAAGAAGAGAGAAAGAAAGGGTTGAATGTAAGACTGGAGAAAGGAGATAGGGAGAAGAAAGTAGACGTAAGGAGGAAGAAGAGAAATGAAGAGAGAGAGAGAGAGAGTCGTGAGTCTAACAATGGAATATGTAGAGAGAAGAGAAAAGCTGAGAGGGTTTAAATAATAAGAGAGAGGGTGAGAGAGAGAGAGAGAGAGAAGGGTGTATTTAAGGAGGGAAAAGAGAAATGGAAAGTGGCAAATATAAGGACGATTAGAAAGAAGAAAAAGAAGAATGTAGAGAGAGGGAGTGGGTATAAGGATAGAAATGATACATGGAGAGAAAGGGGATGAATCTAAGATGAGAGAAGAAAGATAGATAGAGAGATAAGGAAAGTGTTTATTTTGGGGGAGGCAGTTGTTTTCATCAATTTTCATAACCTAATTCTCCGCCTAGTTTTTTTTATCTCTTATTCTCTTTCTCCACCAACATAGATGTGTGTGTGTGTGTGTGTGTGTGTGTGTGTGTGTGTGTGTGTGTGTGTGTGTGTGTGAGAGAGAGAGAGAGAGAGAGAGAGAGAGAGAGAGAGAGAGAAGAGAGAGAGGACATAAATAAAAAGAGATAGAAGAGAGGGGGAAGAGAAAAGAGATAAAGAAAGAGAGAAGAGTAAAAAAAGAAAAGAAAGAGAGAAAGAAGAGAAGAGAGAGAGGACATAGAGAGATAGAAGAGAGAGGGAAGAGTAGAGAGATAAAGAGAGAGAGAAGAGAAAGAAAGAATGAAAGAAAGAAAGAGAAGAGAGAAAAGAGAGAGAAAGAAAGAGAGAGATAGAAGAGAGAGGGGAAAGAAAAGAAAGAAAGAGATAGAAGAGAGGGGGAAGAGAAGAGAGATAAAGAGAGAGAGAAGAGAAAGAAAGAATGAAAGAAAGAAGAGAAGAGAGAAAGAAAGAGAGAGAGAGAGTTAGAGAGTACAAGCGCAATACTTTTATCCAAGATTGCATTAAATTTTCCCATTGCCATTGACACAATGTTTAAAGCTTTCAAATAATAAATAAATTGAAAACACGGATACGTAACGTGATTAATTCTACTCGCTCCCCTACGTTGATCTTTTGTCTGAGAATGGTTGTAGATCATATGGCTAAGTCTCTCCACTCAGTTTAAAGCCGACTAAATTCAAGATCACTTTAAAAATAAAGATGTTTTTCCTTATTAAAAAAAATAAACAGTTATGAATTAAAAATTAAATTTTATATATAAATTTAGTTACATGGAAAATCGAAATTTTATGCCTTTCTCATCGACCATGAAAATATGAGTCTATATAGAGTGCGATGGATAAATTGTCATCTAAATTACGCCAAAATGAAAATAACACTGGCATCTCATTTTAACAGATATATTTACGAAAATTATACAAAAATATCTTAAAATACTAAAGAGTAAATTTATTCAATAAAATCGCCATTGGCTTCAATCACGGCCTCCAGAAGACTTCGGAATCTCCTGCAACTCTTCTGGACGGTCCTTTTGTTTAAGTTAGTGAATGCTACCATAATCCTTGTCTTCAATTTATCTTTGGTGTTACAAGGTGTTTTGTTAGTCTCTTGCTCAACTGCACCCCACACATAATAATCAAGGGGGATGCAATCTGGGGAATTAGGTGACCAGATGTAAGGGAGTGATGTGTTCACAGAAATTGTCTGACAGCCATGACTGCGTTCTCCTGCTTGTGTGGCATGATGCAGAGTCCTGTTGCCAGACATAGGATCTTCCAGCAGCCATTCTCTTGACCCAGGACATCATTACCTCCTCAAGGAACTTGACGTATGCCTCCCTGTTGTCTGATGCGCTCACTAACAAATTCGGGAGTTCTTTTCTTATCAGAAAGATTAGAGTCGTACCTTCGTAATCACCATCAAAATCATCCAATTCTTTCCGAGTCATCTGCAGTCTTCAGATTGACATCCAAACACTCTGAAATCCTCGTATTGGAGCTTCCTGTGAGAATGCCAAGCAGTTCAGCATGCTCTTTCCAAATTACTGGCGGAGTGAATTGCTTCGTGGTGCCCTTTTTCTCACAGATGGTGCCCAATTGATTCTAGTATACTGTGCAGTTGACAAAATCAAAAACAATGCGCATGCGCGAAATTAAAAATATAAAATGGCAACAATTTACCCATTGCACCCTGTATATATTTAAAAATTATGTAATTACACTTTGTATAAACGGTTATTTACCAAGCTAAACGTCGCCTGACACAAGTCCAAAGCTATGGTACCCCCAGTGAAAATAGAATCCACTAGTAATCATTTGCAACAGATGAGAATGATTAAGGCAGTTATTGTAAAATGAGAATAAGCAAAGCTAGTTTCGGGGATACTGACTAATGTGACTTTTATCCTCATTAGGTGATCCAGTACTGTGGCCTTGTACCAAACTTAGGTTAAGTATATACGTTCATATAATTATGTAAGCCCTTCACAGATCAAAGTTAATTGAGGTGTCTTCAAGGAACATTCAACAGAATCATTTCGTTTAAACTGATAATAATGTTTCGAGTAAATAAGAGGAAACATAATGTAAAAAATAAGAGGAATTATACATTTAAAAGTATAAGGTGATCAGTTCATCGCCATTCAATAAAAATGAAATGAATTCTCACTGTTACAGAACAACTTTATAGTTCCTCCAAAGAAAAGCAACGCATAACGTTCAAAATGAATTTTTAAAAAATGGAAAATCATTCTTGAAGCTTTTATTTTAGTTTTAATTTCAAGCTAATAGATTAAAGTTAATATTTCCAATAAGTAAAATATGAATTTAAATTTATTGGAATGAGCTTTTTTAATCGCAAAAAATGTCTGGTTTTAGCCAAATATCATAGCACAACATAATTCTCTTAATTAGAAAATATTTAAAAAATAGAATATACTTTTCTGAAATTTTATTTACGAAAGATTAGCTGATTTAAAGTTTAATTAATCTGATTTGAAAGTTTAAAATATCGCAGAAGGGCATTTTTAATACAGAGGTGGGTGTTTTTATAAGGAGTTGACAACTATCTCGATAGACTTATGTTTGGAAATTTTTTCTACGAAAGCCATATCTATAAAAATAATTTGATGAATATAACGTGAGCACCATTTTTATATCATTTTTTTAACTACTCAGAAGTCTTAAATATTTATGAAAATTTTCAAATGAATCTAATGTTTTATTGTATTTTAGGTTCTTTGGCTTTAAATTTACTACAGTTACTGCTCTTATTTTCTGATAATTTTACGTCAGTATTTACAAAAATCGGCACGTTTATAGACACAAGAAAAATTCAAAATTCTTTTTAAAATACTGGGGGTCGCTGAATTATAGTAAACTTTTCCATTTATGATTAGTATAGTTTTTACTTAATAACAATATCACATAACCGCTACAAATTAATACAGAACTTTAAAAGATTTAAAATTTTACGAATCATTCTAATTAAAATTTAAAAAAAATAAAAACAAAGAATGAAAAAATTTCTTGTAAAAATTCATTCATAAAAAAAAACAAAGAATTAAAGGCAATAGTATCCATATCCAATGTGTTTTTCATCGCAAAAAGACATTAAAATTTCCAATACCAACATATAGTCACCTGCTGACACAAGAAAAAATTAGCTAAATCTTTTGAAGATTCTGAAAGGGATTAAAAAATATGATTTAATAATAAAAATCCTTTTGTTTTTCCTCTTAATGACATAATTTTGACGATAAAACTTTCTTTTTATTAAGTTTAGGGTATTCTTTCATCATGTATAATCATTTTAGCAAATATTTTGGAGATATATATTAGATATAATATGAAGTAAAGTGATGACTGATTCCAGTAGGGTTCAGAAGGCTTTTGAGCATCTCTCTTCAGTGCCGTGTTATATTCCGGCAACAAAAGAACACTAATCAGTGCTAAAAGTGCTAATACCAGTAAGACTCCCTTTAGAACACCCGCGTTCCTGATGCAACAAGACATCAGGCGAACTTCCTTGACCAATTCCTTACATCCTACCCTGAAAATACTTCACGGAAGTTTTGCCCAGGTCCCCTCTGGGTACGTCAAATCATTCTCTAATCAGTGCCCAAGTTGATGCCAAATCAACAGCATCCCCTGATTATGCCGTTCTATAGAACGACTTTTCGCTACTTCAAAGCTACAGATCTTTCATGGAAGAAACTCCTTACTGAATTAAAAATACTTTGTAAAAATATATTTAAGGGTGTTTTAAAAGATTACAGGTATACCTCACCCTACGTCGTTAATTGGTTCCAGAGGTCATGACTTAGGTCGAAAAACGACGTAAGTCGAAATAACCACACTATAAACCGCAAATAAGCACACCCCATTGCATATTACAGTATTTATATGTACGTACAATATTCTAAATAAAATAATTAATCTCCACCTTCTCTTCCAGCGATATAGCCTCACGCTTAGCATTAGCATTAGCACTTGCACTGGGACTTTTCTTCGGAGCCATGGGCAAAATGTATTCTAAATTACAATTGAAATGTAATTGAAAGAACGTTAACGGCAGAGCACAGATGGAAACCAGTCTGAATTCAAAATCAGTGTTGGAGAGGAAAACAACGCAGGTATGCCGCCTGTTGGCAGGAATTTGAAATAAAAACATGTGATGAATATACATTATTATGCTATTTTTTGTTGTTGATTTTTATGAGTGTATATATCATTTAAAAATTTATTTAAATATGATTTTATATGAGTTCATTGTTATTTTTAACGACCGACGTAAACTCGAGTAAAACGACCTAAGTCGAGTTTTATTTTTCCATATAATATTTAAGAGAATCCGACGTATCTTCGAAAATGACTTAACTCGAAACGGCATAAACCAAGATATCACTGCACTTGTAAATTTTCAGCGCAATTTTTAAATTAATGACGTTACTGATCGTTACAAGAATTTATTAGACATGTTTGAAGATTTTAAAAAATGTAAAGTTTAATAATGCCATTTTCGAGTGTGATGTTTTTTTTGTTTGTTTTTTAATAATTTTTTTTTTTTTTGCAACTGTTATGTTATTTTTGATACGAATGTACAAAAAGGGAATAATTCTGATATATCGCGTTGACAATTCAATATCAGAGGAGTATCATGATATTAATCTAATTTTATATCTCCGGTTTAGTCAGTAAAATTAAATTATTCATTATACTAAGTTTAATAAAAGCGTATAGAATAAAACATATATTCTTAAACGATTATATAAGGTTAAAGACAATTCAGTTTTAAACATAAATAACACAATTACTATTATCACACTGTTAGTCTTCTGTATTTCTTTAGGTTTTGTTTTTACTTTTGCCCACGCTTTTTCGAACAGGTGTAAAATTAGAGTCTTTTTCCTTTGACCTTTGACCAGTTGCGAAATTTGAATCAACCCATAACAAAGAAAGAGACGAAAAGTGTTTTTAAATATAAAATATTTTATTTTTGTGTTTTTGCAACTAAATTTTCTTAGCGTGTATGAGTTCTTACAATCCTTGTTTGTAACTGTTGAAATGAAAAAAATTATGATTTCTTCGCGTGTATGTGTAAGAAAAAAGTAGCAAGGGAAAAAGTGAAGCGGAAAGTGTAAATGTCCCGTAGCTTGGTGAGGAAGAGTGTAAGTGTCACGTAGGTTGATGAGGAAGACAGGTAAATGAGTAAGGGAATCTCTTTGAAGTCGCGCCGGCTGTCGTGAACTGCTGCCGTCTGTTATTGTTCCTTACTGGCTTGTCTGTTCTAGCTTTGCTTAAATACTCTTCAAATGGATCACGAAGCATGTTTTATTATTGTCGGCGGGAACGCGGGTCGCCATGATCACAGGTTGGAAAATAATTATATTATGATAAATGGAAGATGGCGCCGTAACCATGAAATGCCGTACGTCGGGTCCGGCATAAGCTGAGGACCTTCTGTATACGAAAAATGTAAACAAATTTAAAATTCTCTTTAAAATCCAATATTTGTCGTAGA